TCTCTCTCTCTCTCTCTCTCTCTCTTTCTTTATCTCTCTCTCCCCTACTCACCCCTTTACCTCCCTTATCTCTCTCTGTTCCTCCCCATTCTCTCTCTCTCTCTCTCTCTCTCCCCCTCTCTCTCTTTCTATCTCTCTTACAGTTTCACTTGTTCCTGCTCTTGCTATGAAACTGTTAACAAAATGGTGTTTTCTAAATTTAATAAACATGGTTTTGAAAGTAAATATTGTCATTCTTGCCGACCACAGCAGATTTGAAACCTCCCCAATCCTGGAGAGTGGATTTGAAGCCCCCCCAAAACGCTACATCTTCTTTTGTGTTTTTTTTGTGTGTGTGTTTTTTTACAGAATCTTCCATCTTCCATAAGTAAACTGGACTGAGGCCGGTTCCCAGGATATGATTTGATTTGGTTGGAGTCAGTGGACTGGTCTGGCCTGGAGTAATTGGATTTTCGGTGAAGCCCTGTGACTGGTACAGGATGTGTCCTCACTAATGAGCCCAGTGTATGGAGGTGTGACTGTCTTTGTCTCTGTTTTGCAAACCCTTAGTCTAATTCTGAGGACAGCACCTTTACAATTGGGCTGATCTGAGGTCAGCACAGTGTGTGACAAATGATTCCGCCGAGGGAATCGCTTCTAGAGAGACTTTAATGAGGTGTTAAGGGAATGGGTTTGAGAAAAGGATGGAACTGTTTCTGCCTCCGTCTCCCTCTGCATCGTCTTTGTCTTTTGTCTTACAGGATAAAAAGAAGAAGAAGAAGAAGAAGAATGTGTCGTGCTGTTCAATGTTCAGGTTGATGGGACATTAGGACAGTCACAGTAAGTCGGTTGATGGGACATTAGGACAGTCACAGGAAGTCCAGGTATGATGATGATGATGATTGTATAAATGTTAAAAACTAAAGCCTAAACTTCCATCACTTCCATCATAAATGTTAAAAACTAAAGCCTAAACTCCTATCATCAACTCCTAGCATGTGTTTGTTGAGGCTTCAACCTCTGGTCTGCGGCCCGGCTTGCGTCACAGCAGCCCGTCTGAGATCAGGACAGTCATTAACTAGACTGACTAAGACTGACAGTCTGGTTAATCTTGTTAGAGGACAACGACTGGAAAAAAAAAACCTCCACCAGCCACCGAAAAAATGCACCGTAATGACTTATTTCCGCTAACTCTACGAGGCTACATTTTATTTCCAAGATACAAAAAGTCTTTTGACTTCAGCAACAGCCTCGTTCAACAGTCGGTCCTTGTGTTGAGCCAAAAAAGAAAAATGTGATTCAACCATAACAGCACTGACCGCAGTGAACTGAAAACAGCCGCTTGCCCTCGGTCACCGCTCCACCTGGAGTGAGGACAGACGGTGGCGACGCCAACCGTCTGCCCACCTGCTCCACCGTGATTAAAGCTCTAATGGTAACATATGGTGTGTGGGACGTCCGCCCCGTGCTGATCCCGGGGACAAAAGGTTTGTGTAATCGTCAGGTGAGTTTGCTGTGCTCCTTCAAATCCTCATTATATCCTCATTATGTCCAATTAAAGGGACGCTGCAGTGATGCCTCTGCTTTTAGACCTGGTGGTTCTCACGGCAACGGGGTTTCAGCAGCAGCTGCCGTTCTCTCAGCTCTTTTTTTTTTTTTGTTTCCTTTAAACTTCCCCCTGATCTACTGTTTGTGTCTTATTTATGAACTAAATGGAGTTTTTAACCTTTAGCGTTGATTTATTTTCCGTCTACGTTTTTCCTCTATACTCTGTCCACGTTTCAACTTTTTCATGTTTATATTTGGAACCTGTCAAACGCAGTTGTCTTTCTTATATCCAGGGAGTCTTGTTAAGTTTATTTTTTAAACCCACGCTGCATTGTTTTGACACATGCTGCGGTGATGTCTTCACATGACAGGTTTCTGTGCAGCGTTGAACCGTCGGGTCAGTGTGAACCTGGGTCGAACATCAAACATCCTCACCTTAAAAAGAGAAAAATCTATTTATTACTCCATCGCAGGCGGGATTTTAACTGATGTAAAATAAAAACATGGCACATGTACTGTATGTTTCTACATGTATATTTAACAATACATGTAAAAAAAAAAACAAAAAAAACATGAGGCATTAAGCCAAATGTATACAGTACATCATTTAAGACCTAAAGCCTTTAATTCCTTGAGTAAAGACTGTATGTCCGCTCTGCATAACATCAATATATTTTGGATGTTTTCCAGGAGAATTGATGGCTGTTAGCAAACCTCATCTATGCAGTTGAAGGAAACTGAGCACCATCTTCATCCTCCTCCTCCTCATCATCATCTTCATCACAATGGTGACAGCGCTCAGATAAACGAGGACTGGTCCCTGTGCTCGCTGCTCGACCGATGAGATCCTTGGTCATTTTCTGGTTGGGACGGAGGGAGAAGAGGAAGACAATGAAGAGGAAGAGATGGAGGAGACGACACAGACTGTGTGGTTTTACTCCTGTGTCAGGAGCCGTGGCCTTACTCCCCCACTCCCCCACTCTTCCTCGCTGGAATCTCCGTTATGTGCTCCATGAATCACACGAACATGGCTTCAGTGTTGATGGAATGTGCTGAGTTTCCAGGTAGTGAAGCAGGAGGTTGCAGGAGCAGGGGGTGGTGGGGGTGGGGTTGGTGAGGGGGGAGGGTTGAGAGCAGCACTGAACGCCTGTAATTTCTCGCTCCACTTCTCTTTGCTTTAGCGCCGAGGACACAGCGTTCATTAAAAGTCAAAGCTGTCAATCATCAACTCCCATAAAGCTCTCCTGTAAACTGTAATAATATTGGTACTGGTTCCAGGCAGTAATGCAGTCATGTGGCAGAACTTTAAATGGAATGGTAGAAGAGTGAGAGATGGTGACGCTCTGGATGAGTTCCTTTTTTGTTTTTTATCTTGTTGTTTACCACTGATAGCCCATGGGGGCTCCATCATGGCCAAGGAGTAACCTGAAGGTCGATTATCCTTGGCCGCGAAACACCTCAAACCTCATCTTTCTTTGACTACACTCACTCATGGAAAAGAAAACCAGGAGGTGGAGTCCCCGCAGCAGCATGTCGTCCACACCTACCATGGGTTTATGTCCCATGGAGGACACCTGAGAAGGGGTAGAATCATCTCCCAACACGGAGGGGTTACTATTGAAGTATGAAGTTCTGATATTCTGGGTTTTGTGTTTGTTCCATGTACCAGGAGATGTCAGAAATGTCGCCCTGGCCTGGAGTTTAAGACACCTAGATGATATTCCTAATAGTTCCGTAAATCCAATGTGATCCAACATGGCTGCCTCCAGCTGATGTAAACAAAGAAGGGCTCGTTTGATGACGACGTTTTGAAGACCAAGAGTTTGTTCACTCAGGTGAGTCTTTGTGAGTCATTATTTCACACTTAGGATTCTTTTGTATTATGTTTCTGTCAGGAGAAGTGGAATAGAATTTGAGATTTATCTTTAAATAAATAACGGTCTGTTTGTGTGTTTCTGTCCCTGCTGGCAGCCATGTGTTCTCGGAGCTGACACCTGCAGTTCTCCTTTCACTCCTCGGCAGAAGGCAGTCTGCAGGAATGTTGAGGTACGTAATACATGACAAAACCTTGTGGTATTTACTAAAAAAAAAAAAAACAGGATTATTACTTCCACTTGGCGGACACACACACAGACACACCTTTGTTTCTGGTAAATACATTTTAAGAATATTTTGATGCTCCTAGAAGAATAGGTTTGGGGATTTTTTTTTTTTTTTTCAGGTTCACTTCCAGCTTTTTCCTGCACTTTTCCTAAAATAGTTACATGATGATGGACAGGCAGCCTGTCCAAAATGTCTCCTTACTTTCAATCCAATGCATGCTGGGATATGCTCCATTGCTCCGTTGACAATGAGGGGAAAACAGCAGATGAGGAATATAAATGAGATGTGCATCATACACTGAGCCAAACTATTAATAAATATATACATATTTAATCTATTTAAAAATAATAAAATACAAAATAATAATTTGTTCTTGAAGATGTTTTCTTTTTTTTTCCCTCCAGCTCCAGATGAGCTGAGAGAGGGACCAGTTTGACGTTCCTCCATATTTCACATTCAACACTCATTCCTTCACACGTTGCCAGCGTGGTGAGATTTTAACACATGTGCAGGACACATAAATTTATAATGCATGTAATTTAGCTGGAGCAGCAGTGGAAATGGACGATGACCTTGAAATGTCACAACAGAAATGGAAGAGCAGTGATTTTCATCCTGGAAATCTGTGCACCTTTATTTGTGTAGTTGATCTTTTTTACGTGATCTTATTTATTCGTTGCTTATAATTTGGTCACTTCATGGTGAACTGAACGGAGAGAGAGAAAAATTTGATTTTGAAAATTCATATTTTTAGCCAAATAATCCAATAATATGTGAAGTATAGTTTGTGTCGATGTACGTTTTTTTGAGAAGGTTTTGTGTCTTATTCGACTTTTTTTCAGAGAACAATAGGTTCCTTGCGCTGACTGCGTGTCCTTGCTGTTGTCCATCAGTCTTTCTCCGTGTGCGTCAGTGCTCAGCCCCTGGTCCTGAGAAGTTCAGCATCAGCAGACACAATTCCAGGGAGAGTTTGTTCTATGGATTTCTGTGGCTCTGATGGAAACGAAACACCTTATTTTTCCTCACACGTGAAATCGTGTGAAGAGAGTTGTGCGTATGTGTGTGTGTGTGTGTGAGAGAGAGAGAGAAACTGCTAAGGCCAAACTGATCAATACATTTTCCTCCACAAGCTCTTCAAATTTGTCCTCTGTAGTGCTGGGTTACCATGGTAACCCCAGTTCTTTAAACAATGAAATTGGGGGTGAAAATATGATATATATATTTAATTTTTGCCTTTTTCATATAATCGTCTCTTGCTTTGAAAAAAAATATCTTGTTTAAATTGTAGAGACTTTAGAGAGGAATTCTGACCTGTGTCACAGTATAATCACATCTGCAAATTACTTCTTCTTTTTCCCCCCAGAGAGTCTTATTTATCCTCCACTACATTAGACGGAGCTGTGATTCCTGGAGACTCGTTGCAACACTGACATCTAGTGGTTCTTCTGGGAGCTCCTGACTCATTGTGAGGTATTTTAAAAAGAACGTCTGAATGGTAGCAATAAAATAATACCTCACACTCACTCTTGTCTTTCCTGATCTGCACTGATGCTAAAAATGATGCTAAAAAGACCAAGTGTTGGTCCAATCAGAGGCTGCAGCGTCATTACTCTTGTGGAATTAAACTCAGTAGACAGCAGTTAATCTCTTTATTTACAGAATTTGTGCTTTGAGGGAACACAGTCTTGGATGTGGCAGTAAACAGGACGAGATGCCTGCAGCAGGAGGGGGATCACCACCCACTCAGACCCACAGCTTCCGCTGGTGGAGGACACGACACGAGCCAGAATATAAATACCATCGCATTAAAAAAAAAAAAACTGACTTCCTATAAAAGAGTCAGACCATCTGGGAATAACTTACAGTGTTTCTCAACACGTAAATATCCACACATTCTGAGACCACACACACACCGCAGTTTTGACTGATGCTAAAAATGATGCTAAAAAGACCAAGTGTTGGTCCAATCAGAGGCTGCAGCGTCATTAATCTTGTGGAGTTAAACTCAGTAGACAGCAGTTAATCTCTTTATTTACAGAATTTGTGCTTTGAGGGAACACAGTCTTGGATGTGGCAGTAAACAGGACGAGATGCCTGCAGCAGGAGGGGGATCACCACCCACTCAGACCCACAGCTTCCGCTGGTGGAGGACACGACACGAGCCAGAATATAAATACCATCGCATTAAAAAAAAAAAACTGACTTCCTATAAAAGAGTCAGACCATCTGGGAATAACTTACAGTGTTTCTCAACACGTAAATATCCACACATTCTGAGACCACACACACACCGCAGTTTTGTGTTTCTCAGTGTGAAACTTGTACTTCCCCCTGACCGTAGAGGAACTCTCTGACCAAACCATCAAAATATGAAAGTGCAAATGAATAAGTCGTTTGGAAACTCAGCAGGTCTGTGGTAAAAAAAAACAAAAAAAAAACAAAACAAAATTTAAAAAAAGAGAAAGATATAAAGATCAGTCCCTGTAAAACAAAATGATAAAAAACAAAACAAACAAACAAACAAACAAAAACCAGAAACCAGTTAAAGGAAGTTTTTTCCTCTGTGTGTGGGCATTTATATCTAAGAATAACCAGACAAATAAGTGATTTATAAAACGAATTGTCTGGATGATAAGATTATAAAATTTCTGCTTTCAATTTCTTTATCTCTGGGTTTCTAGAGGGAAAAAAATTAGAAAAAACGTCTCTTTTTTTCAAATTTTCTCACATTTTTTGGCTAAAAGATAAAAAACACTGGAGGTGGAAGATTTACTGACGTCACGTAGCTGAGGACGAAGCTTAAATCACACACACTGCTGGAGGTTTGACCTACTTCGAAACATTTGATGTCCAGTAATCGCTGACCCCAGCAGCATTATACGGCCATTAGTGCCCCTGCTGGTGGAATATGCAATTAATGATTTAAGGAGGGGGACGGGGGACTCCACACGATTAATAATCCTTCGAGGAATGCAAATTATTTTTTCATGAATAATTAACTGGCTGAAGAGGAACGATGGTTTAAAAGTCCGAGCAGAACAGTGTTATCAGACAAAACAGTTTTAATACGTGAAAATATTTTTAATTTACTCCTATCAGAGCTGCTGTCAGAAGAACAGGAGACTCCTGTTTACCTGTATGGCACCACCTCTGGTTTTTCAGTGTAACTACATCTAACCACAGAGCAGAAAAAACAACAACAACACGTGAAAATAATATTAAAAAATGGAACATAGAGAAAACAAAATGCTGTTTGTTGTTTGTCCCGTGATGGGGGGGAGGGGGCTGGTAGGGAGTGGGGAGGAAAAAAAATCTCTACTGACTAAATTCTCGTCAGTTCCAGCTGCCAAAAGCAGCAGTTCTTCTCTTCTATCAGTGAAAAATATTTTAAAAATTCAAGACTCGTGTGCACAATAAAGTTATATTTCATGGTTTTTCAGCTGAAATACAAGAAATGTTTAAATATATTAACCACATCTCTGTATGTATTTCAAACCATATATTGAATTTTAGATTTCATATAAGATTCAATATATATTTTACTGCTGGTAAACTGCACTTTTAATGTTGCTGCTACGTATATTGCCGGGATTTGGAGTTTATATTTCATATATTTAAATGTATATTATATTATTACTACTGTTGATTTTTCCTTTCATTTGAGCCACAAGGTGGAGGTATGGATTGTGTTCTTGCTTAAAAGCATGTACTGTATATATAACACTCAAGGCCCGTGGGCCAAATTTGGCCCGTCACCTCATTTTATACGGCCCACCAGGGCTTAACATGCGTATTCCAAATGTCTAATCTGTCCCATCAACTACATCTCTGTGTGATCCACAGGTCTTTCCAGAAGCTGCTGGTTCATCTGCTCCAATAAAAACCCCTCCGTCGTCAACACCCCATCATCCTGCTGCCGCCTCACCTCCAACGCACTAACGACGCCGGTCAACTTTTCAACTCATCTCATCGTCCACGGAGGCACTAATGTGATGATGGGAGTCATAATGTGGGAGCTGAGGGTGGAAATCACCAAAACAAAAAGTCCACACAGCCGTGCTGCCGTTCATCAGGGGGGAGGAGGGGGGAGGGAGGCAGGGAGAGTGCTAGTATCATGTCTTTTCCTGCCGTGCCTGCATTCAAACTCATTCATCCGCTTCCAGCCGCTGACCTCTGCTGCAGGCTCGGAACATGACTCATCAGATTCCTGATGAAGGCGATTCAGCGTGACTGGCGCTGACTGTAAAGAGCCTCATCAGCGCCGACGCCGACGCCGGCTCCGGCTGTGATCACCTTCTGACCACATTTGCATCGTTACACAGATGACGTAAACTCCAGATGGTTCTGGTAACTTTATGACAGAAAAAAATGTTCCACTCAACACAGACAAAAGGGGTCAGTGGTGATAATGATCATCACGTTATCAATATGATTATGGTAACAAATTCTATTTTTTCTAACTCAATTAATCTTATCGTGCTTTACCCAAATATTTACAAATAACTGAAATATTTGGAGGCCCCATTTGGAGG